GAGAGAGAGAGAGAGAGGTGGGCATGACAAACAGTTGGCTTTATTTTCTGTATCTGGAAAAATGAATATCGGACAAATTCTTTGCATAATGCACCAAACAACTCCATCAAGAACTTTTGAGACACAGCCAACTGGATACACAGCAGCAGCACAGCTGCATGCGCATGTTGATGATACTAATTCTCTATAGTCTCATCTAACAGGCATGCCCAACTTCGATGTCATCCCTCGCGAAAATACACCGTCTGCCGGTGAAGCTGTTCCCTTCCCAGCCTCACCTGTCACGTGATCCCTTCCATCTTGGAGGGATCCCCTCTCCTTTGGCTGCCCCTCCCATTCCCCTTCCTTTGCTGACTTGATTCGAGGCGGTGCTGGGTACACATACAACTTCAAGCTCTCGGTTGTATGGTACAAACTAGCCCCATACCGCTGCACGGTGACGCGGATAGCGGGCAGCTGTAACATCCCTGAAGCAACGGCCACGACACAGTACTTAAGCCTGCAGGAAGACATTGGCAACACGGACATTGTTCCTCTCTGCGCACCAGAAAAGACGAAACTCTGTCCCACAACCACCGAAAATGACACATCCTGAAGAGCCGTGGTCCTGTTAATTATCGTTAAAGACAAACAGAAGGGAACACCCAGAAGACCATGTGGTGGTGCAGACATCATGGCCAAGACAGGAGGATCCTCTACATACATAGACGGTAGTTCCACCCTTGTCGTTACAACCCTTCCGAACCTCTGCCACACTCGCCGGAGCTTCTCCAAGTACGAGAGTTCATTTCCCCCACCTTGCTGTTGCGGAGACTCCCCACCATCACTGGCATGCATCGGCAAACCAGTTGGAACTTTCTCCTTTTCAGCGCTCTTTGCCTCCGCCACTCTCTCTCCCACCAGTGGGAGATTGCTGAAGCCAGCAGCGAACGGACTGTCGGTACTTCCCTTTCTAGTAGTGCTGTGATCAAAGCATCTTTCAAATGCCCAAACGTTATCCGCACCATCGGGCTCCCAGGTCACCCGCAGCGTTCCCACACGCACCATGGATCCTGGAATCGTCGGCCGCACATCGAATACCTCCGTCAATGTTTCCTCTTTCTGCAAGATGGCTCCGACCTCAATCACCACACCTGGATGGGCAGACGCGTCTGCATCCTCATCACTACTTTCGCTTCCTAATTTGCCAATCCTGCCAACTCTCAGGCCATCACCGGTGGTACCAGATGCTCCTGCACCACGCAAGGAAACCTCACAACCCCCGCTCTCGTCTGGATCGATAGCAATTGATACCACCCGAATTCCTAATGACGATTCTCCTCGAGTTGTCACAATCAAGGAACTTTTCATGTCCAACGGAAGCGCTGACAACGGTCTGCCCATCCCTGCGATGCCACCACCACTAGACATCACGACACCTGGAATCAGGGCCTCTTGCCGATACAGACCAACAAATCGCGCACTAGTGATGAAAGGTTCTTCACACTTTATCTCCACAGCCTTTTTGACGCGCAATGCGCGAGTAGGTGACATATCCGAACCCCTCATCCAGCATCCCATGTCATCTTCCAACTCATACTCCAGCATAGCCGTGAGGCTGACCCCCATCGCTGCACGCCACCTGATAAACACAACAGTGCTCCAGACACAGTCTGGTGCGACCCCTGGGACATGAATTGCTCCCACAACAGGGACAAAACACCCTTCTTCGTCATTCTCCTCCTCCTGTCCCTCCTCCTCTTCCTGTCCCCCATTCTCCGATGGCCCATCATCCTCTAGCAGCTGCGACGGGATGACGAAGAGCTCAGCAGGCACCATGCCATCAAGGTCAACCGCCTCCTTAACACTGACAGGGCTAAGTTGTACGCTTCCACTCGTTCCTTTTTCTCTATCCAACCTCCCAGAGGCGCTCCCTGTGCCAGCCTCATTTGCCCCTCCATCATCAACTCCCACAATCGGACTGAGTTGCAGCTGTAATGTTCCTGCCTTCACCCTATCCCCCCTCGACCTCACACCCACACGAACAGGAAGGGCCTCGCCAACCACCCCAACACCAGAGCAGTCAATTTCAACGGCAACTCTAACTTCGGGCTCTTCGACTTCCACCCATCGCTGGCCAAGGGAGCCCTCATCCGTGTCTTTGAAAGGTGGCTTATTACCACCTGGCTCAAATGTCCAAATTGACGGTACCTCAGATCCCAACATATCAACCTGACAAGACAAGGTTGTATGAGGAGTGATCCTTGCAATGATTGCCACACACTCCACCCGGCCAGCCTCCCCGACGTCAACCTCCAGTGTCAAGTGCTTCCACTCACGGGGACGTAAAGTGAGATCGTAGCCCCAGCGCCTATCGGCCTTCGGTTTATCCAGCATCCGTGCATCCCCATCTCCTTGGTCTTCATCGCTCTCGTCACCCTCCGGCTTCTCTCCTGCAAGCAGAGTGCAGCCGAACAACGGGTCGCCAAACACCACTTCAACCTCAGTAAGATTGAGATCTTCTGGCAGATAGGTCAAAACAGCGATAGTCAGGCGCGCTTTCGCATGTGGGCGCACGGTTCTCTGGTGAAACGTTGCCACAGCTGCCATAACCACACACAGAGGACTGGCTTCACCCATAGCAAAGTCGGCCGGGTGATTCTCATCAACTGCCCATTCCTGACCTCCCTCCAACCCCTTGATGGTTCTCGATCCTTGTAGCATACCCATAACCTCTCGATAGACTGATAGACAGTGAGATTGCTCAAATCTCGCATTGACAACTGCCAGTGCATCAAACTCCTCATCCCCGTCGTCGTCATGCCCCTTTGGTAGAGGGAGTGATGCAAACTCCAGTGAATATTCCATGAATTCTTGCCGTAACCCAAGATGTCTGGCACACTCTCTCAAGTGTGCCAAACTTGCAGCTAGAAGTAGAACCCAACCCTCCTTCCTGTACAGCACAATAACTGAGTCAAATGCCTGCTTCGCAGAAAGGTAATCTTCCGCATAGTAGTACTCACGGCCGATCTCGAACACAATCTCATGCATTGTCCGCTGCCCATGCAGTCGCTTATACTGTTCCCGGGCTTTTGTCAGAAGCTCTATCACCTCCATCGTGTGCGGCACTTTCTTCTCCAGTTGAAGCATATGCCGCACGTACTCGGCTTCTGTTGGCCTGTCAGCAAGCACACCAGACCAAACATGCTCAATCATCAGTGACAGCAATTGTGGTGGATCCTCTGAGGGGAAGGATAAGTTTGCAAACTAGACATAACTACACCCAAGACAACAAGCAATCACATCAGCACCCAATCAAACCCTGCGTGCGCATGCATGCACGCACACACACGCAAGCGCACGCACACACACACACACACACACACACACACACACACACACACATGCACACACACACACACACACACACACACACACACACACACACACATACAATTTCACACATGATGATTGATGATATTGTGGCAGTGGTGGTGACTTTCGCAATTGATTAGTTGCAGTCTCTCTCTGCAACCCGGGAAAGAGGACACAGGCATGCGGGGCCATAAATACCACATACCTCCATTGTTCCCTGCCCATCCGATTCTCTGGCAACCACTGACACCCCCCCCCCCCAGCATTATTAATTTTCTGTTCAAAAAGTTTAGAAGGCTGATGCCTCCACAATGTAAAGATGAAGAAAGGCAGCAGAGTATAATGCCCAACGATCAGCAGCTGATAGTTCTGTGCTGAGAGAGAGAGAGAGAGAGAGAGAGAGAGAGAGAGAGAGAGAGAGAGAGAGAGAGAGAGAGAGAGAGAGAGAGAGAGAGAGAGAGAGAGA